AGACGTCATACATTTAAATACGCTAAAAAAGTTATATCGTTGAAAACCTTGATAGAGAAATCCAATGAAACAAAATACTGATAAACAGAAAAAGAGTATAATGTATATTTACTCTCCCCCATAATAATATTACTTAAATTATATGCTACGCGCATTTTAAATTATTCAAGATTTATATAATAAGTATTAATAGGTATACCGGATGAATGGGTTATAATCATATTTATTAGACACGCATTGAACATTTATGCATTCTCAAATCAACAAGATTGATTTGTGATTGCATCTGTCGTATAATAGTTTATTAGCCCTTGTTTGATCCCCATTATTTTTAAAATACGTTTTTCTCTATTTTCTTTTCAACTACACATTCTCCAATCAAATAATATTATACTCAAACCCAAAAAAAATTCTTATTTTTTAAATACTCTTTCTCCAGCCAAATAATGGAGCTCAAACAAGGGCTTAATTTATATAATTTTTTGCAAAACTCATTATTTTAGGAATCATGCACTATATATTACAACTTCATTTTCCCCCTTTTGGATAAGCAGACATCTTTAGGTACTTGGATTTTATTTTTTTAAGTCGAGAAAATTCTCACTATCATTCATAATATGAAAAGCTGAAATATGTACAAAAGTATTGTCAATAAATTTTTTTTCAAATTTTTTTTTTCATTACGACATAATTTCTTTAGGTATCTCAATCATAATTTCTTTAGGTATCTCAATTTTCAATATTTCAAGTACTTGAACATTTTATCAAGTATTATAATTTGTTATGTATATACGAAGAGTATATGCCAACTCAATAGATCATCTCTATTATTTACTCTATTTTCTTATAGAGATTTTTGTTTTGAAATTGAATGTTAACACGTTTTGGGAGTGCCATAAATGTATTAGATATAACGTTAACAAATTGTTATTTTAAGATTACAATTCGAGTTTGAGCATTTAAAATTAATGTGCGAGATAATATTAATATTTTTGATGAGTAAATGCACTTGAATTATCTTTCAAACTTTCTGTTTGAATTGTCTTGTGCAAGGATCTAGATAACATAATGATGTATCATGTTTCATTTCCAATTACTTGATTCATCCTCTAATGCTAAGAAAACCGCCTATCCAAATGAGCAAACTGCGTTGTAAAATATCGCTTGTAAGAGTTCAAGATAATTTATAACAATATAACAAAAAGAGTTCAAACAAAATATTCTCAGTATTCCTTAGATCCCATCTTAGTGTGATTTGGTGGAGAAAGTGCACATATTATACAAAATTGCTTAGATGAGAATTATTGAGCTCATGACAATAAGCTAATTGTAACAATAGAACTTCATGTGGCAGTATGCTTCTAAATGATACCACTTGTAAAATAACATTCCCTAAATAGAAATGGAAATATTTTATTCTCGATGATAATGATTTAACAATCAATTACGTTGAATCATTTTTCCTCATCCCAACAACTAATCATAAAAAAAAAAATTAAATGTAAATTCACTAGCATTATCAAGATGAATTGTCTTAATTGTGTAATCTGAAAATTTTGTCCACCTTCAAATAATTGAGAAAATAATATCGTAATCGCCATGTTACGAGTATATAATTAACACAAATGTGATCTAGTGGATCCAATTATCAATATCATAAAATTTCGAGATAGTAATAGTTTAATGATTAATTTTTCATTAGAAATAGTAACGATACATACAAAAAGTTATTAAGATTGGAGTATTTTCTAGTTCTTCAATTAATGTTCGTTCTAATTCTTATAAATTTTCACATCATTATTGATACGGAATGGTTTGATCAGTCATTCTGAATAATAAAACTAACATTCTGAATAATAAAACTATTCAGGATATTGTATAATACAATCTAAACGAAACCTAGTAACATAAAAATGATTCCTCCTAAACAATCAATCAAATTTGTAGAATTTTACTTTCTATTAATTTCTTCCCTTGGGAACTCTCCATGAGTTTATTTGGATGTTTGTACTTCTGACTCGGACACTACCCACGTTTGAAATCTATATGATTTTTAGGCATAATTTTTTGGATCGACGAACTTCGAGTTTGTGAAAAATATTACATTCTATTCTTTTTGAAGATAAATAAAAAGTAATGATCCATAAAAATCGGAAAAATAATGTTTAGATATGCATCTCTAATTCACATAAAGTAAGGAGCAATCATATTGATCAAATATACAAATAATGTCAATCAATTGAAAGGGAGCAAAATTGGAGGAATTAATCATCCAATCCCACTATAGTGCTCAAATTTTTTTGACATAGGGGGTGACCGACTCTCACAATGGTGGGGACTCCATTTTTTTGGATTTTTTTATTCACGCGGACCCACGGCATGTGAGATGATGTCAATCATGTGAGCAAAATAGCAAAATTCTTAATCATCACACCTCCTATTGACTAAAATCCTTGAGGGAATTCAATTTGAACTTTCTCTTAACTTTTAATAGTTTAATTAAAATGATTAACTTATTGCTAATTAATAAAATTTCAAGCAGAATATCTAAAAGCAAATTTAGTCTAAATGAAATCTTACATGGGATCATTTAGCATTGTAACGAGTCAATTTGATTCTTCACAAAAATAAAACATCAATAATCTTGTCTATTACATTCTCTGAAAATTTTACATATTTCTCAAATATTGATTATGCGGTCTCAACAATGATCCGGTGACGTGGTGCCTTGACAGGGTCAATGCTTGGATAGATTTGATAACAGTTAAATTTCATATACGATAACTATATTTTAATATGATTTCAATTGTGTATCCACACTTTAATTTGATTTCAATTAAGATAATTTTGTTCAATTTCACTAATTATAATTGATATGGTGACAATCAATAAATGATGGACAATATTCATTGAGTGTCATGTTATTATCCAAGTGATCGAGTTAGATAGAATTACATTAGTAAAAACAATTTAAAGTGTAGTTATCCGATTGAATAAAATTGGAATTTATTTACCTTATTAAAATATAATAGAAGTTTAACTACTATAAATAAAATTTACGCGTCCTATAACTATGCGTGAACCTTTAACCCTTTGTTTGAGCTTCATTTCTTTAGAAACTTATTTTTTTCAAAACTCATTTTTTATCACATTTTTCAATAAAATAATTTTACAAATAAATTAAAAAAATTTCATACTTTTTAATCACATATTTTTACTCTCTTAAAAGAGAGGCTTTTGTTACTATTCATTTATGTCACAGCCGTTTTCACACTTGAATCCAATTTATCCGGTTTTGCTATAGTAGTTTGTCCTTTTTTTTCCTCCTTTACATTGTTTTCTTACTTTACCCTTGAAAATCCCACCTTACACTAATTACCACATTGAGGGCTTAATGGTCACTTGCGCCCACAGTTGTTGACTTTGCACAGACAAGTTTTTTTTTTTTTTTTAATTTTAATTTTTTTAATTATACTATTAATATATTTTTTTTGTAAACTTTTTAAGAAACGCGTTGATGTAACTTTAACTATTTTCGATATTCATTTAGATCAATTCGATGAGTCCATAATATAGTTCTCGAAACGAGTTCGATAAAATATAGACAATATATTTTTTATAGATGTTGAGTTACAAAAAAATGACGAGTTATACGTATTTTTTAAATTTGACGTCAAACTATAATTGGGGATTTGGAAGGGAAAACGGCGAAATTTGACCTCGAAAACGATGTCCACCAAGCGAAGCTAGGTGGGCATGACGTGCGTATCGAAAAGAGCTTTCTGAATTCGGGTCATGGGCTCAATTCCGATAACTGTAGCAAAACTTATAGTCAAATTAAAAAAAATAATAATAAATTTAGAAAAAAAATAAGTCCATAAGAAGGAAAAAAAAAAAAAAAGTAAAGTTAGATACTCCGAGTTGCGCGGAGTGCCTGCAAGTGAGCACTCCGCGCTGGGGCGGAGTGCCTGAATTCCAATTTTAAAATTTTATTTTTTTTTTTACTTATGTTTTTGTGTTCATTTTCAGG